TCGAGATGTGTAACGCCCTCAACAGGTCAGCCAGCATCCACCTCACATCCAGACTTCACGCATGGCAGTGATTAAAAACAAGCGTTGTGTTGGTGTTGAACCCAAGTAAACATGTTTATTTTTGTCCTGCAGTCTGTCAGAGAATCAGTCTCTGCTGCGCATGCCTCCCTGGGAGAACATCTGGCTGCTGGGAGCCATCTGCCTCTCCATGTCTCTGCATTTCCTCATCCTCTATGTAGACCCGCTGCCGGTACGACACCCTTAACACTACAGATCATTAAGTGCTCTATGAAGATGAGGATGTCAAAAATAATCTTGGGGCCCAGAAAACAAATATATCTGTAATGGAACGTTTATTTCTCTACTACTGCTCCACACAAACTCTGTCTGTACTCCAGGTTCACTTTCACATGAATCCAAACATCGAGTTATAATACAATTCTAAATGGTTCAATTAACAGTTTTGTGGACTATTGACAAACTTTCTATTGATTTGAAAACTATTGTCAACTACACGTTACTTATTTTATATATGTGTGTGTGTGTGTGTGTGTGTGTGCATACTGCATAAAAATGATCAAATGATAAAAATAAATATTAAATAAATAAGTGACAGACATAAGTGTTATTTAAAAATAACATTAATTTCTGATACTGATATATATATATATATATTATACCTAAAATACTTTTTAACTGAGAATTATTAAAAAAAAATTATAGTTCTTTCAAAGTAGTAATGGTATAAAAATATTTACATTTTTTTTTTCTAATACTCAAAGTAGTAGTATCATAGAAGTTAATGTTATTTTAAAATGAGTAATTAATCATGTCTGTCACTTATTTAGTATTTGTTTTTGTTTTTATATTTGAATTATACATTATAGTTTTATTTTTATGTTTTTCATATAATTTTTTACTTCTGAATGTGTTATTTTTATTTTATATATAAATGAATAAAAACCGATTTCTTTATGTAAATATATAGGATTTTCACTTATATTATTGTTTATTTTTTATATTAATTTCACTTAATTACAAATATCTATATAATAATAATAATAATAATAATATAATAATGTTTTATTACTTATTATTATTATTATTATTATATTTTTATATAAATCTATATGAATAAAGTACTTTTTACCCAGAGAAATCAATTTAAAACCTTTTTTTGAAAGTAACTGTGGACTAGAGAAGGGGTGATTGTTGCTGGTTACTGTATGATGATTGAAATCGCGAAATGGCCTCAAACAATTAGTAAATAAACGGCAGAATGTTCTTTTTTCAAATTCAGGCACGAATTGCATGTATTCTGACAGCGCTGCACAAGCTCACTGCATCAGGGTTCAAAGTCCAAAGCGCGAGGAAAATCTGCGCTGAAACAGTGTTACGGGCGACAAACATCTTCCCAAATACGTAATCATTTATAAATCTGTTGTCAACAAAAAGAAGCACTGAGATCTTCGTACGGGTTTCCGCCAAAATAAAAGCCGAGAAAAAGCAACTCCATCAACATTCATAAATGTTAGTATTGTAATTTTACTGTTGTTCTATAAAATAAAATAAAAAACTTAAGACAATAATAATAACACGAATACCGTATTCGGCCCTCGGCCCACTGTTTCATTTTGTTCGGCTTCGGCCAAGAATTTTCATTTTGGTGCATCCCTAGTGTGGACATGTTATTGCTTTACTTTTATGCTTATGATATATATTATTGATATAATATAAATATTTAATAAATAGTTTATTTATTGTTATTTATTCAATAAAATACAGTTATTGTTTATTAATTAATATTTAATTGAAGGCCATAGGCTGTTGGTGCACTGGTGTGTGTGTGTGTGAAAGCCTTGGTGTCACTCCTCGTTTCATTCCATATTTTCTTTGCTTCACCCTCTGCTGTTCCTCAGGTCATCTTCCAGATCACTGCTCTGAACGTGACCCAGTGGCTGATAGTGCTGAAGATCTCGTTGCCTGTCATTCTCATGGACGAGCTGCTCAAATTCATCGCAAGGAACTACCTGGATCCCGGTAAAGACCTGGACCAGGAGCCCGACAAGAGAGGCTGGTCCCTCTCTGCATGCACTGAGGGCGTCTCCTGGCCCTTCGTAGCTCTGGCACTCCCTCTAGTGGTGTGGCTGTATGGCACAGACACTAACATAACCCAGCAGCTCTGGTCCTCTTGACTGATCCCAGAGCTGCCATCAAGCTAACACATGACTCCAAATAACCAGAGAAGAAACATTAACAAGGAACAACAGTCACCTGTTCACATTTGCACATGCATTTAAGCCTTGTTTAAATTTTTTTGAATGTGTATATATAATGTTTATCTTCATATTGTTGTCAGAAAATAGTATGTTCCTTTTTTTATCATTCCATTTTAAAGGGGTCATGGATGCAAAATTCACTTTTCAAGTTGTTTGAACATAAATGTATGTTGGAAGTGTGTGTATACATCCATCCTATAATTATAAAAATCCATCCAGTGTTTTTTTTGTTAATCCCTATTTTAAAATCCCCTTTCTCAAACCAGGCTGTTCTGAGATTCCTGTCAGAATGACGTAGTTCTGCACAGGCCCCTCCCACGGTAGTTGATTGACACGGCCGTCTTACCTTAGCCCCGCCC